AGTCACTTTGTTTTTAAGTCGATATATTAAGGGTTTGCGTTTTAACACGTTTAAAAATATGGATGCTAATTTTCGAGAAGATTTACTTGTATTTGTTATCTCAGGATACTGATATTTTTCTCAGTATAAATAATTTCGTATAAACATTAAAAACATCACCACTTTTCATTACGGTAAAGTGACTTATGCCACTTTCAAAATAAACGGCTCAGATTACAGTAATTTTCTCCCAGAAATGTTAGGAGAAGTGGGAATTGAAACCGGCAGATATGAGAATAGTAAGTCGCAATTCTTCGGGTCGCGTGGCTCGATTTTGTAGAAACTCGGGGCAGTCGGCAAAGAAAAGGCAGCGGCCTGCATGCTGATGTACATTGATATGAATATATGTATAGTAATGCTATTATAGAATAAAAAGGATTGTTTAACTTTTTTTATTTCTAATTCTTTGCCAGCTCTAATACTCGTCCAATAATTTCACCCAATTGAGATAGATAACCTTGTGAATGTGTAGATTGTGTAATTAAAGAAATCCTATTTGATCACATTATTACATCCTGACAAATATTCCAAAGAGAAAAAGATGTCTCCATCCGGTAAATCGCAACAACATCAAAGTAATCTTCTATTTCATTTTATTTCATTTTATTTCATTTTATTTCATTTTATTTCACTTTATTCCACTTTATTCCACTTTATTTCATTTTATTTCATTTTATTTTATTTTATTTCACTTTATTTCATTTTATTTTATTCATTTGTTCACGGGAAAACTTTTTTAGGTTTGATTGTAGAGAATTAACTGAGTCTAGAAATCTTTAATTTAGAAATAAAAGTCCTTAAAGGTTTGTAGAGTGATTATTGTAGAACACGTTGCAACAATGGTTTTAGACTTCCTAGGGATTGTTTAACGTTATTGCGTGTACGGAGTTAGCATGATTAATCATTCTATTAACACAATTTCGTGATCCAGGATTTTTAAAATATAAATCAGTTAAAATAGTATTTCCCATGAGAAATTGTAACTTTTAAGAGTTTCGGCTTCATTGAATAAAATTTTTAAAAGCATTTCACAGTGAAAGGAATAAGAATTCAGAACGAATTATTAATAGATTATTACTAATTATTGGTGGACGGATCTTTAAACAAAATAAAAATGATCTAAGTCAATTGCGAGAAATTTCGATGAAAACGTCTTTTCTCTATTAACAATCGTAATAAGTTAACAATAACGTAACGATATCCTCAAATTCTTCTAATATCTATTTAGCTTTGCATTTAATCTATTCATTTTTATTATAGATGCGTAAACTTCGCGGTCTAATAATTAGTCTCTAATTACATTAAATTCTCTCTAACTTCTCTTCAGCTTGTAAACAAAAGTGAACAATTTGGAAAGAGAAAATACGATTATTCGAGTTTTGCACCTAGCTTCTATAATTATTGACAATCGGCAACTATAGAAATGAGTCGCGAAGCTCGAATAATTGTATCCCCTCTTCCCAAATTGTCCATTTTTGTTTACAAGCTGAAGGAAAGTTAGGCTGAATTTAGTGTAGCGTGCGATACCTTAAATACTTCGATAGTGTATACGAATAATTACAATTTATCGGTAATTTTTCACCAAACCTCTTCAAATCTAGTACAAAATTAATTATGCAAATTAACTGGCTCTTGTAATCGTGCGGTTGCTAATGATCCGCGGATTGATAAAACTTCGAAAAATCAATGACTTTTACTGAAAGAAAATTAGGGAGAATCTTCTGTACCTTGTGGCTCCACGATTTTTCTTACTTCAACCCGAAATTTAGCATTTCTGGGAGAAATTACTGTAATCCCTTGTATTATGACATCGAGTCGGGCTCACGACGGTGATTTTCAGTTGTAACCCGTTAGATACGAGTGCTATTCCGATCTTCCAAGTCGGAATAAAATTCTGTGTTCCCTTCTCGCCGATATTTGAGCATTAATTTTAAATATCAATCTTGTGTTTCTTCGAACAACAATAATATTCAATTCAATTCTAGTTAAAGAATAATAGGAAAGTTAAGGAATAGTTAGAATAGAATAGTTAGTTGAGGAATAATAGAATAAAATAGTTAGTTAAGAAATAGAATTCAAGTTAAGGAATAATAGAATAATAATATTCAAGTTGTCTCAATTTATTGGCATCAAATGTCCTATTTTCTCTGTCAAAGTCCGCCTTCATTGGGAAACCGCAGTAATGCCTACACACTCACCCCAGAGTTCCACGATCTAATTTCTATCGCTTGTTTCAATAAACATCGTGCAGCATATCGATTCTTAGACATTCGATTCGAGAAACGCGCAAGTATACACATTCGGTCCTACTACGTTTCTATGGACGAGAAGAGGAGACCGGACGCGGGTCGCTTCTTTACGAAGTTTCGCATCGCGTCAACATCTAGCTCCAGATTTAGCGCGCCGCCGATACAGCAAAAAGAATACATTTGGCCGATTGTTTGTTGGCTCAGAAAATACGAATATACCGTAATCCGTGCGCGAGGGGTGACGCGCGTGATTGCTAGTCAGTCCGGCAAAATTTTCCGGTTTATTTTGTGTCCGGAACGACCTCCTTCTATTTCCATTCCACCCCGATGATACGCTCGCGCGTCCTCGGCTCTCGCTCAAACCTGTACTTTATCGTTAGCCGCCGTTCATAAATCTATTCGTACTAGTTATACAGGCGATATATCCCTTTTAGCCGGGGCCCGAGCATTTCTCCTTCGGGATCAGGTTTTATAGCTGCAATTTTTACTGAACGCGCGTCCATTCCGCCGTCGCGTGTTCATCTTACGCCACATTTTGTATAGACCGCGGAATTTATGCGGCGCTCGTGCATCGCGACAGAACGGCGAGTGCATCAGCCGATAACGCGACAAACACGGCGACGGGAAATTAAACAGCTGATTGGGGACGTTGAATCATCTTGGCGACAACCGGGTGGTAATATCGAAAAAAATCCAGCTTTCGAGGGACGAGCTCGCGCGGGAAATCGCCGAAAGCGCGTTTCGCTCGATTCGATCTTCCGATCGATTAGGAAATTTCGTTGTTGATTATATTGGCGGGAGAATTCGTGGAAATTTTCAATCGATCTGTCACAATTTGTTCATTCGAACGGTCACTGAATATGTTGCTATTTAACGCGGAGAATTTTGATCTTTTTCTTTTACAATTCCTGATGTTTTTGTGCCTGATGTATTTCCATGAGAACTTTTTATACACATTTCTTTATTCTAGCACACATTGCAATAGAAATCGTACGAAGTTTATCATTGTTTAAAACAACATACATTAATCGTGTTCGAGCCTCTGTGGTTCTATAGTGTTAACCTTCAAGCGGATTTTTATCCCACGCGTAACTTTTGTATTCATAATATCGACACTTTGCTGCTCTATCGTCCCCTGCTCCTGGTAAATAAATAAAATATATAATTTTATAAGATATATAATAATTTTATATTTATTTTTTTATAATAATTTGAGGTATAATAATTTTATAAAATATATAATATATAATTTTTTAATTTATTGTGTTCGAAGGTATACCAGTCTTTTATTTTCCTCGAGACAATGATTTCTAAATATAAAGCCAGTTACGTAAGTCTAAACAGCGAAGGCACCCGACGGTTAATGAACCACTAAAAATTCCACTCTGGCACGAATAAAAGTGTTCCATTTCATAAGCAAAGCAATTGTAAGAAATCGTGATGGATCCTCGTATACGAAGCCTTAATTTTACAAATAATAAAAGCAACCCTGTTGCTATTCCTCGCGAAACAGCTTCATATAAACGTCGACGAGTGCACGTCGCACAGTGGTCGGTTTCCATACAAAAAGCAGAGAAAAAACAAGTAACGACTGAAATTATAATATATACCTAAGCTTCACATTTTCATTTTATATTACTATATATATTTACTATATTTATATATATATATTTAGGTTTATGTTGGATTGGAATAATAAAACCAAAATGCAATGTTTTAGTCGTTTACAAACAAATTTTTTAAAACTACAATTATTTGTTTTCAATTCAATTCAATTCAATTCAACATCCTTTCTATTTTCATGGTGCGAACATTGTTCCGAAAACAGTAGTTCGATCGTTTCTTTGAGAAATGGTTTCGATTTCTCGATCGTTCTTTTCCTCATACTCGACATGAACGGATCGGATGCGAGCAAAAGTCTGCATACAATCCAAAAGAAAATAATTTATAATTATTCTCATTAGTTTCAATAGAACGCGAACAGTGGAAATATTGATATTTAACTCAAGCTATTCAAAACATTTCACGTTAACTCGATAGCCCATAGGTATCACGGTATCATAGGTATCACGTGCCATTTCGGCGTTATCATTAGATAATTTCTCCGACAGCAGCTAACAGCAGTCAATTTTTATTTTGTCATTAATGTGAGGCATCGCTCCTCGAAATGCGATCAAAGGGAACACCGAACTCATAATTAAAAAATCAAATGAAAATTCAACATATTCAATCGAACGTAACTCAAAAAATGTGAGAGATAAAAAAGAGATAAAAGAGTGTCCTGTGACATAATTCAAGTACATACTAAGTACATTAAATTCTGTAAAAGTTATTTATCTTCAAGCAACAAAATAATTGTAAACGATGATATCAATTTAGGATGATTTGAAGCTACTTTGGTGATTTTGGCTACTTTGAAGCCATGCAGCCGTGTTCAAGCCGAACAAATGGTGAAAAAGATCGTATTAAATAATATGTTTATAATCGACTACTAGCGAATCAATTTTGCACAATGGGAATATTTTGTAAAACCGATTTTTCTCCGGTTTTCGTATGGAACCCGATCACTGTGCGTCGCAGCTACCGCGTCGAAGTGGTTCCAAGCAGAGATTTGATGAAATTTCCGTGGTTAAGAACCAGCCCGGTTTTCTCGAATTTGCCCGGGAGCATCGGCCAGAGACCACTGACCGGATATTTGGCGTTTGTTGGCAGGACGAGCGACGACGGACCGGAAGATACATCGCCGGCGGAGCGGTGCTCGCGATCACCTTGCTGGCGTTGCATCATGCGCTGCTACGGGACACGTCGACCATCGCCGGTGTCTGCGTACCGGCTATAATAATGGTGTCCTACATTATCTGGATTCTGTATTCCGCCCACCGGGACCGGCGAAAGGTAACGAGTTTTAAATCCGCGACGCTTCCTTATCCCTTTAACCCCGGCGAATCGGGGGCGAGAGGTCGCGCCCCTTCCACGGACGCTGGACCATTGCCAATGGCTCTGTTAAATGTTTACAGAGCCGCGGAATTTCCTGACGAAACGATCGCGGCGAGTTTCCGCGGAATTTCCGATCCAGTTATTCCGCGCGGCGCTTTAAACACGCCGATCGCTGTCGGCAGTTTTTATTTTTCGAATCCCAATGAACTCGGATTCTGTAAATTGAAACGCGGCCTGCGGACGAACCTTCGAGATTTTGCTAGCACTGGATGCATGTTTCACTTCGTTCATCTTGGCAGCTAGCGAATTACTATTCTTGTTGGATTGTTGTTGTGGTAGTGGATATATCTTCGAGCGGAATGCATTTTAGTATACAAAAAATGATTCAAATGAATCTAGATTATTGTTGCCGTTGTTCGAGAATTTCTCTCTGCAATTTGAATGATTTGTTCGCGATTTTTGGGGAGATATTAACCTTTCTATGGTATTTTGCATTTATGCTAGCTAGATTGTGTATTAGGCTTATGGATAACTTTTCTAGCTATTATTATTTTATTCGAGTTGAATTGTAGAATTTAATTTTTACTTTTACTTTACTTTACTTTTGCTTTTACTAATTTCATACGATTATTTATTATTATTTTTATATGATATTTTATACAATAAGCTTAAAAACGTATTATAATGCACGTATTTTCGTTGTACAAGTTTTTATGAACACCACAAATGGATTAAAATAATGCCAGCAGATGAAATGTTAAGCAATATTTTTCAATAAAAGAATTGACACTAGAACCATCGAACTTTTTTAGCCGAAACTAAACTTTCAGGTAAACTTTTTTACTCAAGCATACGTTACAATAAAAATCGTACGAAGTTTAAATAAATCCAACATGTTACTAAACAATATAGCCAGGTCATTGCTATAAAGCATCAGTTGCGTTCATTGAACCGTTTACATCGGTAATTAAATCGGTAATTAAATTAAATCGAATTCAAGATGCAAGTTTCTTTTTAATCGATGCGAGATGAACAGAAAAAGTCAGATCGAAAGAAACGGTATTTAGTTCTGGATGGAGGGTACGATGAAAGAGCCGTCGACAGAAGCGCAATCTGACATCGTAATCAGACGTAGGCGACCACGCGTTTCTTCATGCGACCCGACTTCAATGGCGTAGCTTGGCGAATCCGCCTATCGAACGATATTTCCCCGTAATAAGATCTTCGACGAGCGAGGGCCGTTCGCCTCTGGGTTTTCAGACAATTCAATTACATCGTACGCCATCGGGTGCGCGGTCCCTCCTCGTGACTGATTACGAGATTAAAAGCTAACCCGCGCGGAAAAACTTGCCCCGATCGAGCGCGCCGCTTAACCGGACCGGCTCTCGCTAATTTTTCTGACCCGCCGCTGTCGAACCATTTTTTCCCTTTTCCGCGAGAACCAGCTCGCCGCCGAATCGATTGCGCGATTCGTCTCGACTGTTTGCACCTTTGCCTCCAGGACCGTCCCCTGCAATCTGACGCAGAGTGCTCCCGTTTTCGGTAATTCCGCGTCAAAAGGAATTTTCGCGCGAAATTAGAGATAGTTTAAGAGTTTAAGTACGATTTGATTGCTGCTCTTTATTCGAAACCTGCGAATTTCACATTTCACGAATTTTAATCTTGGACACCGTTCGTCGACTCGAGTTGACTTTTTATATTAATACTCTATTTAAATTATTTATATTAATTATATATTTGTATTATTTATATTATTTATATTATTCATATTATTTATATTATTTATATTATTCATATTATTCATATTATTCATATTATTTATATTATTTATATTATTTGTATTAATAGGCTTTCCAATGACTAAAGCGTGTCCGAGAGGAGCTCGATAATTTTGTTTTAAATAATAACTTTGAAGCAACTTATTACGTTATATTAATTCAAATAATTTGATGGATTATTGTACTTCTTGAACAATTTTTTAAAATATTTTTAACTCCTGGGTTTCGATTTTAACGCTGGAACTTTCGAAACCTAAATATAACTAACGTATATTGTTTTATAATAATAACAACAATATTGGATTTATTCGAGCTTTGTACGATTTAAAATTTTTATGTATTTGTATAACATCAGGAATCGCAGTTATCAATGTATATATTTTATATAATTTCTATATATGTATTTATAAAATTATATAAAATATATATAAATATATATAAAAATATATACAAATCATTCGCGAAACCCTCCCCTCATTTTCAACCCCCGTAAATCAGGAATCCCACCTGGCAGCAGATAGCCTCACCAAAATGTATATAAAATTATATAAAATATGTATAAATATATATAAAAATATATACATACATTTTGGTGTCTGTATAACTCGTTTTGCAAATCACTGAAACGATGTTTTACTTCCTCGAATCAAGTTTTGATTCCATCAAATATAGCACGTATTATGCGCCATTAGCAGCGACCGCCAGAGTAAACGAACGCCTCCGTCGACTCCGTCCGATCGGTCCGAGCATAAAAATAGGGGAGGCTTCGTAAAATCTCGTTTCCTTCATCGTCGGTTTTATGCTTGATATTTCACCGGGTCTGGATAATATCGGCTGCGAGCGCCGCGGTGAAATTCATTTAATATTCGCGTTTGCGCAACGACGCGCCGGAAGCGGCGAGTTTGTTTAATTCCGTGGCCGCGCTCTGCGTATCTATTTTTCCGTGGCGGCCCATCGGCGTCGCTCCGGCAGATTGCACGAAACAAACGAGCCGCGTGTGGAAATAATGCCGCGGCGAATTTGCGTTTCATTTGTTCGCGGATCTTCCGCTTGTCTGGTTCGCTTCCGCGTGCGACGCGCAACCGAATGGGACAAGTATCACGGCTGTGAACAAGCCGGCTAATGAACGAATTTTTCGAGGCTCTTCTCCTACACGGGCATCCCTTTCTCGCGTGTTGTATTGTACGCATCGAGGAGATGGATGTTAATCATGATCCAGGCACAGACAGCTGCGAACAAAAGCAAGAACCGAGCAGTAAAAGTGACTGACTCGTGATGTTCTATAGGAATGGCAAGACTGAATCTATTTAGACATTTCGCCATTTTGATTATGATCATGGTCTATATTCATTACAATAGTATACTATAAAAGCGACTAATATATATATATATATATATTATTGATTTATATATATTAGTCGCTTTTATAGTATACTATTATAGTATATACTATTATATACTACTATAGTATACTATTATTTACATTACAATAGTATACTATAAAAGCGACTAATATATATATATATATATATTATTGATTTATATATATTAGTCGCTTTTATAGTATACTATTATAGTATATACTATTATATACTACTATAGTATACTATTATTTACATTACAATAGTATACTATAAAAGCGACTAATATATATATATATATATATTATTGATTTATATATATTAGTCGCTTTTATAGTATACTATTATAGTATATACTATTATATACTACTATAGTATACTATTATTTACATTACAATAGTATACTATAAAAGCGACTAATATATATATATATATATATATATATATATATATCGATAATTTTAATATTAAACCTACCACGGTCGAAATGA